CCACTGTCCAACTCAAGACTTGTGTCAAGAATAACAGTAGAGGAAGGAGAATCCAACAGGTCTTCAACTGCCACACAGCGCCATCCAGCAATCACATTAGACCTGCAAGTCAGAAGGATTCGTCCTGGAGAAACTAGAGATAGAGATAGCATCGCAAATAGAACCCGATCTAGGGCAGGATTGGCAGAAAGCACAGTTGAAAGCAACAGTGGGGGCTTTCACAGAACTGTTTCTCATTTAGAGAGGTCAGGTGTCCGAACCTATGTGAGTACCATAACAGTTCCTCTTCGGAGGATTTCTGAGAACGAGGTGGTTGAGCCATCCTCTGTGGCTCTTCGGTCAATTTTAAGGCAGATTATGACTGGGTTTGGAGAGCTGAGTTCTCTAATGGAGGTGGAGCCTGAGTCAGAGAATCAAAGAAGCAGTCAGCGTTTACCAGAGCTGTACCTAGAACTTAATAACATGGATGTGGCTAACAGTGCTCAGCAGGGTGGAGGTTCCTCACAAGCCAGGCAGGCCCAAGAAGACAGTGTTGAAATGCTAGATGTAAGTGAGCCCGCCTCGCCACAGGCCCGCAACGGTGGCAGTAGGAATAGAAGGCAGTTACGAAGGGCAGACAGTGTAGTTGAGTCTGGGACATTACCCATTCTGCGCCTTGCTCATTTCTTCTTACTGAATGAAGGCGATGATGATCCAATTCGTGGCTTAACCAAAGAACAGATTGACAATCTTTCTACCAGGAGCTATGAACAAAACGGGGTTGACAGTGAGTTAGGTAAAGTGTGTAGTGTGTGCATCAGCGACTACGTGGCTGGGAACAAGCTCCGGCAGCTGCCGTGTCTGCATGAATTTCACATCCACTGTATTGATCGCTGGTTGTCAGAGAACTGCACCTGTCCTGTCTGCCGGCAGCCTGTTTTAGAATTTGGGGCTTCAAACAATGGGTGAAATGAGGGATCTATCTGGTCAGCACTGTATGTTGTTGAAGTCACATAGTCAACACTTCTTGAGTTACTTGTGATGAGGTAACCAAGATGAAAAACCTGTCAGATATAGTTTGCACTATTTTTTGTGTGCTTTTTTTTTAAACTTGTTACAAAGAGGTTGTTTATATAAAATTTAAAATGCAGATGTTAAATTATCCAAAAGTAAAGAATAGTTAATATTGCTAGAACCAAATAACCTTCAAAATGTTTTTATTTTGGTAATTTTGTCATGCTAAGCACTTTTGTATCTGCACAACTCAGTATGTTAGGAATCTTGATTCTTTCTCTTAATACCGCAGTAGGTTTTGCTGGGGTTTTCCAGTTTTAGCTCAGTGCTATGTTTGGACACTACTGTCTAAGTCTTTGTAGACTGTTTGGCTGAATGTCTGCTAGATATACTTAAGTTACTTGAAATAATTTAACACATAGCACACTGTATGTGTGTATGCAGATATGTAACTACGGTGAACATATCCACGCAAAAAACTACAAGTTTGAAACTAACTTAAGCTTTGGGGCTTAGATCGCATATGACACAGGGTTAACATTGACAAGATCATCTCTAAGAGGAAGTGAATTAAGATCCAGGTTTAAAGTAGAGATTGTTTACTGAAGCGTGTCTGACAATCTGACTTACTAGAGAACAAGCGATATATAATAATGAACCTAGTATTTCTTTATTCGTAAATGGAATGTGGAAAATTTTATGACATAGTTTAAGTTCATCTTTTTTGTGACTTTTTTAGAAGTACAAACACTTCTCGGGGTTAGGTAGGGTTTACAGCATGCTTGATTTCTCAAATTTAGTTTTAAAATTTAAAATATTTTAAAATCTATTAAGTAGTGAAATGCATAGAAAATATGTTAATTTGGATGCCAAAAAGCTCCAAATAAAATAAAACCCTTTAAAAGAACGTAGTTTATATAAACACGAAGTATGCATTAAAAGTCTATTTCTACCAGTAAATGTGAAAGACTGTGTGTGAACTCATTTCTCTCTGTTCCATTGTGGCTATTCACCTCCAAATACTTAATTCCACACGGGGTGGCAAGTGAAGTGACAGATGCTGAGGGTTCACAAGGTGACAGACAGGCCAAGTCTCTGTCTTCATGGAAAAGACATTTGCTCTTAGAAGGAACAAGTCAATTTTTACTTTGGAGTTTGCTTATATGACAGAGGTCTCTTTCATGTGTGGAGTACCACTTGGGCAAACTACAAGAAAATACTTCTTGTCAAATCGTGAGAGGTTTAGAAATGCCTACATGTTTAACTTTTCAGTTAGTGACTATGTTCAATTCGTAAGGTTAGTTGCATATAACACCAAGAAATAACACAGGGTGTGTCCACCAAAGGGAATGATTTTGTTAAAGTTAGGACTTTGGAGTAAATGACTTCTGTAGGTTTTTTTTTTTTTTTTTTTTTTTTTTTGGTTTTTCGAGACAGGGTTTCTCTGTATTGCTTTGGAGGCCGTCCTGGAACTCACTCTGTAGACCAGGCTGGCCTGGAACTCACAGAGATCCGCCTGCCTCTGCCTCCCGAGTGCTGGGATTAAAGGCGTGCGCCACCAACGCCCGGCGACTTCTGTAGGTTTATGGAGCATGAGTCAAAGAAAGTTGATTAGGGCCTGGTTTTGTTTTACCTCCTCTAACCTGATTAGTTGGAAAAATTATGAGAATGAATAAAGAAAAGGTAGGGTAAAAAGAAAGAAAAAAACCCTCATATTTTGTTGGATACATTTGAATGCTTGGTTTCCAGTTTGTGGGCTCTTGGGAAGGAGTAGATGTGGCCTTGATAGGTCTGGAGAGATGGCTCAGCGGTTAAGAGCCTGGGCTGCTTTCCAGAGATCTTGAGTTCAATTCCCAGAATGGCCTTGATGTGGAGAAGGTGTTTCGCTAGAAGTGGACTTTGAGTTTTCAAAAGCTCACACCAGGCCATCTCTCTGTCTGCTGCCTGTGGATCAGCTTCTTCTCCAGCACCATGTCTGTCTGCATTCTGCCATGCCCCCATTGAGATAAGAGTGCACTAAGCTTCAGAAACTTAAGCAAGTCCCCCTTAAATTATTTTCTTTAAATGAGTTGTTGGAGCCATGGTTGCTCATGCCTTTGATCCCATTTCTCCTTAGACAAATGAATCTCTGAGTTAAAGGCCAGCCTGGTCTACAGAGAGAGTTCATGATCAGTACTTTTTTTTTTTTAAGGATTTATTTTTATTATGTATACCGCGACCCGAGTGCACGTATGCCCACAGGCCAGCAGAGGGCACTAGATCTCATTACAGATGGTTGTGAGCCACCATGTGGTTGCTGGAATCGAACTCAGGACCTCCGGAAGAGCAGCCAGTGCTCTTAACCTTTGAGCCATCTCTCCAGCCCGATCAGTACTTTTTTATAGCGTCAACTTCATCCATTTCCTCTCAATCATGGATGCTTTCCATACCTGGCTTTGGTTTTCTGCATTCTACTTGTTGATTGTGTAGACACCCCTTGGTGGACTCCCCACACCCATGCGGGCAAGACAGCTTTCCTTGCAGACACTCTCCCTGTACTACTGGATCTCAGTTGAATTTACCATAACTTGCTCTTCCATTATAATATGTAGACGCCTTGAGGTGCCCCGTGCAGTGATTGAAGAGTAAAATGACTCAAAGGGAATGGGAGGGTGAAAACTGAAATGGAACAACCCCAGGAAGCTTCTGATACTGTGTATGACTGGCATACTTTAGCCTTTGGTGCCCAATATATTGACCAGTTTGCCATTTTTATGTTCACTGTTGTACGACAGGGAGGAGCTCAAGATGGATCACAAAAGAAAAACATGATCTCTGCCCAAATAAACGTCAGGTAGAAATAAGTCAAACCTAGTGGGAAGAACTTCACCCATCTTAGTAACTATTTTTAATTTATGTGCAAGGATGTTTTGCATGCATGTATGTCTTTGTGAGGGTATCAGATACCCTAGAACTGGAATTACAGATAGTTGTGAGCTACCGTGTGGGTGCTGGGAATTGAACCTGCGTCCTTTGGAGGAGTAGGCAGTGCTCTTAACTGCTCAGTCATCTCCCTAGACCCCATTTTACTTATAGTTGAAAAGCTTGAAATTTCATAAACTGTAAATAGAACTTAAAGCAATGTGACAAATCAAAGTGAACACTAAACTTGAGAAGTCAAATGGAGACCAAAATAGATCCAAATAAGGAGTGACTATGATCAGAAACGCAGTTTCTCATTTTCATGGACTCTGTGTTAGTGCCCCCATTGACATACAGGAAGGCATCACATATTTTTGGAAAGATGATTTCTATTTATAATACTACAAAATATAAACAACTTTTGATACATATTACCAGAATCACTACAGTACTTGTAGTTTTATTGAAAATGATTGATAAAATTATAGAGATGCTTATTACAATCAGAATGCAGATAGCAAACTGGAGCTCGATGAGGATGGTCCACTTAGAATCAGAGAAAAATCTCTATCATCAACTTAATCATTTCCTTTAAATCACACAACATATGATGCTCAGCACAAACACTGAGCATGCTTGGTGAATTACTGACCACCTAGTCATCAAGGCAATTAAGCTGATTTTATTCAAAGGCAAATTAGATTCTCAGATGTTGTGTGGCACAGCCTCCTGGGAGAAAACCGAAATCTTGAGGGAAATTCATAAACCGTTTGTGATTTCATCTTCACACAACTTTCAGGATGATGGGCTTTTCTGGTTGAAAAACTGTTTTCTTGCTTAATCTCAAGGGTATCTGTAGTTGAAGAAGCACATTGAGAATTAACGAATGAACCAGCAATCACAGAGCAAAGCAGAACAAACACATTCAGGACAGTGATACTTTATATACGTTAAACACTTTTGGCTTGATGTGTCTTGAATTCTTTTTTTTTTTTTTTTTTTGGTTTTACAAGACAGGGTTTCTCTGTATTGTTTTGGAGGCTGTCGGTCCAGCCTGGCCTCGAACTCACAGAGATTCTCCTGCCTCTGCCTCCGGAGTGCTGGGATTAAATGCGTGCGCCACCACCGCCCGGTGTGTCTTGAATTCTTTATATATGCGTCTTCATTAGGATCGGGTGGCGAAGACACTCAAGTCTCTCTGTTGGTGCAAGATAGTCTATTGAATGTAGAGCCTAGGCGGGGAGAATATGTTGACTTGTGTTCTTCATTGATTCAAATTGAAGTGAAAAGGCTGAGCTCTTAAACTTTAGATCACACTTAAGTATGTGGAAAACTGTTTTTGATGGTCAGCATAAAGTTAAAATTTCACTGTTGACTCCTACAAGGTAACCCTTGACAGATGGCTAACACTCCACCTCTAAGGCCCGACTCAATGTCTCAGTCCAGTTATGCCTGTTCAGTTTCATGGTGGGCAAGAACTGAAGGGAGCATTGAGCCTTGTTTCCTAACATCTGCTCTTAGCCCCCAAGCAGTGTGAATGCTGAACTCTGAGCCATCCAGAGTTTTCACCAATCATTGTGCCTCAGTCTCTTCAGTCTTATGGAAGAAGGGATGATGCCAACAGAGTAAGCTGGTGCAGTAGAGGGTAGAAAACGGTATAAGGAAACTGAAGAATATCAGCTTATGGGTGACTGCAGCTTGAGACCTGCCTGCTTTCAAGGTTAAAACCTTTGTCCATCTTTCTCAACCACTGTTTACATATACAGGATGGCTATACAGCTGCCCAAGGTGACAAATGAGGTGATAACTACCTCTGTTGAATGACCTATAAAGAAAAGACAATTGATGGGAAGAGCTGCTTGTTACATACATGAGTTTAGATATAAACTTATCATTCATTGCATTATTTGAAAATAAAGACAGTTGTTCTTTAAGTTTGTGGAGGGGGCAACATTTCACCTTATCTCAATGTATTGTTTGGTTATTAACAACATGCATGTATATTTTTCCAGACATACATTCACAGAAAGATAGGCATATATGCCCATGTATGCTTACACAAACAAGATTTTAAATATAAAAATTAAAATTTGATTAAATGTGTACTTAAGATGTCCAGAACAAATTCTAAAATACTCCTTAAAGTATGTGAAATACTCTTATTTACATGGTAGAGTAAATAAGAAACCAAAGTCAGTTGAAATTCAAAGACATAATTCTTCAATACAGAGAACAAAATTGGGTGCATAGACTTAGTGATGAAAAGAGCCAGCAGAGAGCACTAGAGCAGAAGAATGGATGGGCCATGGCCAGTTCGCTCACTCGAATGGTTTAGTCCCTATTTCAACTTGAAGTATGAGGACACGATGAAGTGGTGAGACGGTAGAAGACAGACTTAAGAGAACGTAAAAGAAGTCTTCATGTAGCGCACTTAAGAAGATGTGAGCCGGGCCGTGGTGGCGCACGCCTTTAATCCCAGCACTTGGGAGGCAGAGGCAGGCAGATCTCTGTGAGTTCCAGACCAGGCTGCACTGGCAGCCTCCAAAACAATACAGAGAAACTCTGTCTCGTAAAACAAAAACAAAAAAAAAAACAAAACAAAACAAAAAAAGTGAGAACAAGGGTCAGGATGGTCAGGAAGGGTTGGCATTCTTTATACTATAATAATGCTCAGATCGGTGTGCACTGCAGCCAGTACAGATCTGTGAAGCCACGCTCTGGGTAAATTATCTCCATGTATCTCAGGCGACTAGGCATGGGGAGTTTTTAAAGTTACAAAGTGAAAAGCACAGCCAGTGTTGGGAGCCCCTGACTCCTGGGAAATAAGTCCTGGTGAAGCCCACCACTCACAGACCACGGCAAGGTGATCATTCCTTGCTATGAGTGTGTGCAACAGTTTCCCGTCTCCAGTTAGTCACACAGTTTAAACCTGGACCCGATTTCAGAGATACTGTACTCAGTCATTTTGTGGTGATCTGCATGAACTCTAAATGATTTCTGTGTGTGCCTTTTCTAGACACAGACTTACTGCTCCAGAGTGGAAGGACCTTAAAGCTCCTGGGTCACGTGTTACTCCAATTCTTTATTCCATACAAGACTTCATAAAATGATGATAATTCTCCCTTTCTGTAGGTAAAACTCTGAATTAAGAAACAAAAACCTCGCAATTAATAGAGTTTGTAGAGAGTTTTCGTCCTCACCTGTGTTTGCTCACAAGGCTGGAGGGTGAAGTTCTGCAGGACTCTGATGACAGCCAGTTTCATGCTGAGGAGGGCAAACCTCATGCCAAGGCAATTCCTGGGTCCGTTCCCAAAGGGCATGTATACATAAGGATCAATGCTGCTCTTGTTCTCCTTGCTGAACCTGGAGACACCGCAGGGATGAAGACCAGGCTATGGGACATGAAGACCCCAAGAGCTGCCCGTTTGGGGTTCTCACACCCCTCCACCAGGATGGCACAATGGACATTTGTGGACTTGGAGCTGAACTGCTGCGGATGTCTCACGGTAAGTATTGTTAATTCTGAGGTGGAGGGATGGCTCAGCACTTAAGACTATTCTTGTCCAGCTGAATTTGACTCCAGCACAGGTGTCTGACACCCTCTAGTGTTTTGTCACAGAAGCAGCATGAGTAACTAGGACAAATACTTTACCTATTAGTGAATGTCAAATGATTTTCCTTCAAGGAAAACAAAGTTAAAGGATTTTGGTTAAAAAAAAATAGAAAATGGTTGAGAGTTTGTCCTGCAGATGCTTCACTGTGGTAGAGGAGTATATGCAGGAAATCTGTGTACTTCTAACTTCTACTTTGACCAGAAAACACTCCAAAATTAAAGTCTCTTTTAGCCATTGAAATTAAATAACAGATGATGCAAAGGCCTCAGGAAGCCACATAAAGGGGCCCCGAGTGGGCATGCATGGTGATTTAAAATGCAAAATAACTAATCATAAGATGAAAGTAACAGAGGATGCAAAAGATCACACTTACAGAAATGAATATGTATTTTAATGATATTTTTTAAAAAGCAAATAAGACTTGAAAAGTCTTATGTTGGATAATGACTAGAAATATGGAATACACATGAGAATTTTGAAGTTTTTTGTCACACACTCCCATGTTCATACCCACTGCTGAAAAGTTTGCTTCCTGATCAGGGCCCAGGCAGAGATCCAGAATCAGTGGGATGGGAAGGGGCTGAGAACCTGAGTCGGCTCTGACAGACAACCCAGCATCACTGAGGACTTCTGTGCACAAAATGCTTCTCTGTGAATGCCTTAGAGTATCTGGTCCTTTTATACCAGGGCACTTCTAGAAGGCTCTCATGGACACCATAGGTACCATCTACAGGTGTCTTTGTGAAGTTTGTCAGAAGCTTCATCCTGGACAGCCCCTTCTCCCCCACACATGTCCTGATACCCTCTTTTTCCTGGGTTTCTTGATCCACACAGAGTGAAGCACCCTGAGTTACCTTTCTGGGGCTCTTTGCCTTTGGAGTTCATCATCAGGTGAAGAAAATCCACTCAGGTCTGAAAGCAGAAAGTGAAATGTCAATGATGAACATTTAGAGAAAGGGGTTACAGCCTAATACATGACCAAACCGTGAGCATTCTTAGAGTAATATCACATTTTCTTTCTGACTTGTTTCAAGGTGATTTTGCTTCATCTTTTTTACAGATTCATAAAAAAAGTCCATTAGCCAGTTTGGAAAAATAGAGATATGTAGGAATGGAAATATAAGTATAGAGAAGAAGAGAAAGTATAATAAAAATCTACACAATATTTTTATTCACTTAACAGAAATGAAATACATCTACAACTAAGTTCCTGGACCCACTTGTATTTCCATTCAATTCAAAGGAAGGTCTCAAAGTGATGTTGACTAATAGTTATCTGTATAACTCATCGAAATGTAAAACACTCAAGATATGCAGAAATGGTTAAGTGGTTGAGACTATTTGCTGCTTACAGAAGACCTGAGGTCAGTGCTCAGTACATGGCATTGAATGGCTCATAACTGCAACTCCGGCTGTAAGGGATCCAACTCCCCCTACTGAACTCTAGAGGCACAACTCTCATATTGTGTGTGTGCGCGCACACACACACACACACACACACACACACACACACACACACACTTAATTCAAAATAAAACAAAATTAAAAAATAATATGGGAATAAAGACTTGTTATTATTTGATCACTTCAAAATAAAATGAAATAACATATCCACCCCACTCCTGATATTCCCTCTCCAGTTTCTACAGTATGCCCCTCTAGACATCCCTTTTACAACTTTATGCTGTTTAAGAAGACTCTGCAGTGCTGCCCTCATGTGCATGGGTGTGGGGCCATCCAGTGAAGCATTAGCTATTAGCTGCCAAAAGTTCCTCAGAAAAGGATGGCTCTAGAAAGCATCTCCCATATCTATGAAGGGAATATTGGTTGACTTGATCTTGTGAATTGCTGTGAGTTTGAGAGTGTGGTAGCTGTTCATGTCCAGAAGAATATGTTCCTCTTCACCTCCCAGCATTTACATTCTTTGTTCCTCTTCTTAGAAAAAATTGCCAGGTGGTGGTGGCTGACACACAGCTTTAATCCCAGCACTCAGGAGGCAGAGGCAGGTGGATCTCTGTGAGTTCAAGGCTAGCCTGATCTACAAATTGAGTTCTAGGATGGTAAGAGCTGTTACACAGAGAAACCCCGTTTCACAAAAACGAGATAGGGTTACATTTTATGATGGTGCATACAATTTTTTTAAAAAATGAGTGAATGAACTAGGTCTAACATGGGCATAGTGAGAACACGCCTTTAATCCTGTCATTCTAGAGGTATAGGCAGGTGGATCTCTGTGAGGTCAAGGCCAGTTTGGTCTATATAGTAAGTTCCAGAACAACCAGGTCCACATAGAAAAGAAAAAGGTTTAAGGAAAGTACTGCACATAGTAATGTTCATGAATCAGTTCTGACCATGTGATTTGGTCTGGAAAGTGACTTATTCATGATACACATGCCAGTCTTACAATTCAATGACAAGCACATAAACAATTCAGCAATACAGGAGCAAAGTTTGAATAGATGTTCATCTAAGAAAGACAATAATGTTTCCCAAGTGGGGAGTATTATTATCGCTTGGAAGAAGCACAACCCAACACTCATGGTGCTATACTACTGAATTTCTACTAGGTAGGCTGAAATGAACATCATGAAACAACAACAACCCAAAGTTTTGAATGGGAGTCCTCATGAACTCCTAACCAGAAAATTAAATGCTGCATCTATATAAGAAAAACTTCTTGGGGACTGGAGAGATGGCTCAGAGGTTAAGAGCATTGACTGCTCTTCCAGAGGTCCTGAGTTCAATTCCCAGCAACCACATGGTGGCTCACAACCATCTACAATTCAATCTGGTGCCCTCTTCTGGTATGTAGGCAGAACACTGTATAAGTAATAAATAAATAAATCTTAAAAAAAAAAAAGAAAAAGAAAAACTTCTTGGGGCTGGAGAGATGGCTCAGCGGTTAAGAGCACTGACTGTTCTTCCAGAGGTCCTGAGTTCAATTCCCAGCAACCACATGGTGGCTGACAACCACCTTGAATGAGATCTGGTGCCCTCCACTGGCATGCAGGCAGAACACTGTATACACAATAAATAAATTAAAAAAGAAAAACGTCTCACTTGCTCAATAAGTCAAACACAGAAGTCCTATGTAATTCACTAATTCCACTCCTAGAGCTTACCCAGAAAACATGAAAACAAATGTTCAACCATAATCTCAGATGCCAATGTCCATGACAGCTTATTTGCAATGCCCAAAACTGAAAATAACTTGAGGACCATCACATGATACAGAATTTAATTTGTCTACAGAACATACAGGTATCAACAAATGGTTCTGTTGGATTTATTATGTTAAATGAAAGAAGCTAGTTACTAAATTCTACATATTCTGTGACATATTTATATTGCCTTTTTATGGCATGCCAGGAATAGGCAGATCTACAGGAAGAGTGAACTGGTGTTTCTTATGGCAAGGAGGAATGGAAGACAGGAATGATAAGGTGCAAGTTTTCTTGGATAAAATGTTCCCTGGCATCATCCCTGGTGATGGATACACATTGCCTTGTATGAGCAAAAATTGAATTACAAGTTGTGAATACATTATTTTTATATATGAATTGTACTTCAGTAATGATGAATGATGGTAATTTGGTTGAAGAATTTTGGGAGGAAGAAAAATAAGAGAGGAAGTAGCTATTTACATACAGAGAGAAGAAATAGGTCAAGAAAATCCACACGTGTTAAGATCTCCTTGGATCCTCTGGGTTGTTGATGGAATCCACATTCATGCCAAATGATGTGCTAGTGATCACATCCATGCTATAAGCTCCAAGGATCCTGAGGAGAGAGATATGAGAATCGGCATCAGCATCTGAGGCAGCTCATGCCCCAAGCTACCCAGGCAAGGATCCACAGAGTCAGAACTTCCTGCTGGATCATCAGTGGGGTCAAGACTCCTATCACACTCACAGATGGGGCCTTTACCTGTGGTCAGTTTGCAGATGGCCTTTTCCTAGAGCTGAGGGGACACTAAGATAGTCACAGTTCCATCAGCTGCACCACCACTTACTCTTTCGTATTGATGAGAAAGGGCTTCCCTTTCTCTTCTTGTCGTCTCAAGTTTTTCACCAACGTATCTCAATACTGTTCGATGACGGGGAACATCTAAGCACAAAGAACGGCATCTGTTGCTAAATGTGGAAACTCAGGTCTCAGAAAGACAGCTCACCCCCATCCAGGAAGCAAGGGTGGGATGTTACAATGGATTTTATAATGGATCCCCAGGGCATGAAGACAAAAGATCATCTTGTATGAATTGTAACTGAGAGGAGCAATCCTAGAAAAGGGACTGTGGGCTCATTTTCTACCTGTCCTGAATTCATCCCATAAGTAAATACCCTCTCCATCATCACCTCCTTAAGTTTTCCACTGGTGAATGTTGGAGACAGCAGTGTTTGAAGTCTCTTCCATTCTTCATTCTCAGATATGGTGATGGTCTTTTTCATAGGTGCAACTGGACCAAAAGTCTAGAGTTCAAATTGAAAGACAATTTTCCTGCAGGAGTCATGTATATATCTATAGCCACTGAAAACATATCAAACAAACACCACTTGTTTAACAAGTATCTATTGATCTTAAGCAGCAGACTCTTGTGTATACTCAATACATTTTCATTCAAAACACTGCATAACCTATATAAACATGGGTGTCTGCTATCCATATGGCATGGCTTCAAGCCTTTATTTCAAAGTCTTTTCTTAAATGGAAACCCCCTCTTGCACAGGGAAAAACTGTTGTTTGGGGCAGGCGGTGACACAAGGGGGGCTCAAGTCCTGAGCAGAGGGTGTTGTGGTCTCAGGGTTGACATCTTCTGCTTTCACTTTAGAAACAGATGTTTTATAATAGGGGGTTTTCTGTTTATGCAGCCCCTGGGGAAATATATGCATGTGTCAGAGAGAAAAATTTGAGGCAGGGGTTCTTTGCTTCAAAGTCACGGAGGAAGTCTGAATTGTACTCCAAAGACCGTAGTACTAATAGGGTAGATTCTGAGAAATTTCTCGCTCAGCTCTGCATACAAGATGTTACAAGTATATCCATTGTCCTATACTGGAGTTTATATTGAGGAATTAAAAAAGGAGATATCAGAGTCTTCCTTTCTGGAAACATGATGAAAACAACATGCCACTACTATAAAACTAGAGAACAACAACAAGAATGCTATAATCAGCCAGTTTAATGCTTATTATGAGAATTTTGTTTTTTCTAGACAGGGTTTCTCTGTATTGTTCTGGAGGCTGTCCTGAAACTCGCTTTGTAGACCAGGCTGGCTTCTAACTCACAGAGATCTGCCTGCCTCTGCTTCCCGAGTGCTGGGATTAAAGGCCTGCATTTTAGAAAAGATTAAATTATTTTGCATGTAACTTGATTAAGGGAAAAATAGTTTCAGACTGTTCAACATATTGTAACTGAATGAACAGCCATTTTTCAAACAAAAGTTCCTATACTTTGTAGACCTTGAAAAATTTGTAACTTCCAGATTTGACTGATGCTGTCCAAAGGTGTTGTTTCAGGTAAGACTGTTATCTCTTTAGACATTTAATGGGGAAATGAAAATGATATCCGGGGCTCTGATGCCTGCCAAAATACTTATGTAGTCAATATGCTATATAAATAAAGAGTGTCTCTGGAGAGAGAGAGAGAGAGAGAGAGAGAGAGAGAGAGAGAGAGAGAGAGAGAGAGGGAGGGAGGGAGGGAGGGAAGGAGGGAGGGAGGGAAAGAGAGAGAGAGAGAGAGAGAGAGAGAGAGAGAGAGAGAGAGAGAGAGAGAGAGAGCTACTGTGCTGAACCCTCAGAAGTGCATTCAGTCTCCCTCTACTCCACACTTCCTCTTTGGGACCTGAACCCTGCTGAAGTTGGACTTCAACAGTTCTTCCATGAGAATAGAAAAGAAAAGCCCTAGAACATTCTTCAAGACTGTGAAGAGTAGGAATGGATTCAAGTGGCCTTAGAATCAATGGCTAATGAGATGGCTCAGAGGCCAAGAACACTGGTTCTTATTGCAGAGGTTAAGAGAAAAGACTTAGCCGGGCGTTGGTGGCTCACACCTTTAATCCCAGCACTCGGGAGGCAGAGGCAGGTGGATCTTTGTGAGTTCAAGGCCAGCCTGGTCTACAGAGTGAGTTCCAGGACAGCCTCCAAAACAATACAGAGAAACCCTGTCTCAAAAAACCAAAAAAAAAAAAAAAAAAAAAGAGAGAGAGAGAGAGAACACTTGTTGCTCTTGCAGAGGACCCGTATTGGTTCCCAGCCATCTATAACGACATGACATCTGTCACCCACTCCTGACCTTCTGACATGCATATGCTGTACATATATGTACATGCAATAAAAACCCCATACACATGAAATAAGAAAAAAATTTACAGGGTCTTGGGCTGCTGTTTCTTAGGCTAGTTCTGCATTATATTTGCCAGTGGCATAAACAGTTGGGGAGAATAGAGGCTGAGTTGCTGTTTTTTTTTTAAATTATGGCTATTAGATTAAGAATTGGGGATGATTTCAGGCATGGTGGTGTACACCTTTAGTCCCAGAACTGGGGAGGCAGAGGCTAA